TTGGCTAATATCGCATAGTGATTTCCCTCTTGATTTTGCATAAATTTATTAGATGAAGGGAATATAGCATCCACACTATTAAAAAAAATGTTACACAAAACATAAACATTATAATTAATGGTAACAATAAAGAGCTGTCAATTGCTATGCCACCTTTCCTGATAATGCTCGCAGGTTGATGCAAAGTAGACCACAAGTTTACAGAAAATTTCACTATAGGAATATTTATAGCGCTAAAAATGGCAAATACTGCAGCTGATTTTTCAGCTCTTGCTTGGTTGTCAAAAGAGCTCCACAATGCTAGATATCCAATATATAAAAAAAATAAGATTAACATTGAGGTGAGCCTTGCATCCCATACCCACCAGGTACCCCAAGTGCCTTTTCCCCAAATGCTACCTGTAATTAAGCATATTGCAGCAAACATAGTCCCTGCAGGTGCTGCACCATGAGCCAAAATACTTGCAATGCTATTTTTCCATACTAATGAAATAAAACTGAGTAATGCAATCAATCCATATATTGCAAGGGAAAGCCATGCAGATGGAACATGAATATACATAATCCGCACAATTTCACCTTGTTTACAATCTTCCGGAGAAAAAAACAAAGCTAAACATATTCCTATTAGAAAACATAAGAAACAAGTAGATGCAAGCCACGGCAAGGCTTTTTGAGCAAAAGCAATGAAATTTGCAGGTCGTAATAAAAACATCCAGTTTAAAAATAACAAATTTATCAGTTATTTTAAGCTTTATCAATTGCATCATGCATTGATTCTCAATAACAATTTGTTATTGAAGAGGTGTTCGCTTCCACTTCTCCTAAAAAATTCCTTACCATAAATTGAATTTCAAAAGAGGTCTGTTCTAAACTTCATCAATCATATTAGTTTATTATAACTTTATTTTTTGTTTTTTTTAATCGTTTGTTATGCAGTGGCAGTTGGTTTGATAAAGCGATACAAAATTGGAGTATTTTGTATTAAAATCTTCCCTCATTAGTAGA